AACCCTGTACTAGACTGCACTCAGATGAGGGTGGCCAGTGGGTGGTCAGCATGTGGTGGGAACCCAGCCCGTCTCTTAGCATGTTTTAGGAACCAGGCCGTGATGGTCATCCAGAATACAGTGGATTTCTTTGGACATCATCACGCATTGTATGAATGCAGGGTTGAGCTGGGCTGCTAGGTCAGGATGTGGCAGAAATCTCAATGACCACTAGATGGCAACAAAGAGGTTGGGGGTGCGGTATCTCCTGGCAGCCATCTCTCTGCCACCATCTCTTGGTAGCCCTAGAGTGCTACATTGTGGGAGTCCATCTGGATTGGAAAGTGGTGCACAAGAAGTTGCTTTACCCCATCAGATCCCACTAGGAGGTATATAGATATGCAGGGTGCTGGGCAGAGATCTTGCACAGATTCTGCTATGTGATCTCTTTAATCCAGGTGGGAGCATAGGCCCACTTTTCTTAGCACCCCCAAGCTCTTTGCTCTAAATTAATTTTGTTTTAATGAACTGAAAATAAATAAGTGGGAAGCTGACATTTTGTTTATTCGTTCAATTTTTGGTACCAACTGGCATTCTGTAAAGCGGTGCACCAGTCCTTAGCACCATCTAATTCCTGCCTCTCCTTCCATGCAGACCCCATCGGCATTCTTAGAAAATAAAAAATGGGGGGGGGGGTTGGATGTGCGTGGCTGCAATCCAGGGCTTGCTTTGGAAGTGTGCCCACTGCAGGGAAACTGGGCTGATAGAGAACATTCCAGGGGGGTGAACAGAGTATTTTTGGCAGGTGACTCCTTTGTAACTGATTGGGTTTACCGGAACAAAATGGGTCATGAGAGTCGTTTATGAGTGTGCCCATGACATGATCTAAAAATGACTAATGTGTCCCTTCTCACAAGAAGATTTCACACTCCTATAATTCGAGAAGGCGGAGATCTTATACAGGCAAGGCCCATTTTTTACACTGGATTACAGCGTAGACATGGGTCAGATGATGTTTGGCCCTTCTTATTGTGAGGAGATGTTCTTCGACATTTGGCAGATAAATTTATGGCCCCAAATACTCGGTGGAAGAACCGGTGTTGCTCACAGCTTATGAATGAGTTGCTTACAAATGTCAATTATCTATGGAAGTTTACAGTGAAATATGGTCATCCTTTACTGAAATGGTTGTGTAAAACATACACGCGTGTGAATGTGTTCTGGGGTTGCGTGTATAAAACAATTGCATATGATTTTTGTTCTGTGGCTTTCTTTTTTCTGCTTTTGTTATTTTTTTTCTTTGTTCTGTTTTTTTAAAATAAAGCTGTTGGTGTATTTGATGGAGGATTGAGGGGACCCTCTGCCTCTCTTCATCCTGAGCCTCTTTCTCTCTGCAGAACCCCATTTTGTGGGCTCAGCATTCATCCAGGAGAGCAAAGGCAGTGACAAAGGAGATGACGACAAAGTTTACTTCTTCTTCAGTGAGCGGGCAGTAGAGTACGATTGTGACATTGACCAGGTGGTGGCTCGAGTGGCTCGTGTCTGCAAGGTAGGCTCACCTCGGTTGTGGGACAGCACTTCCTGGGGTCCTGTAGGGCTGGAAGAACATCAGAACAAATCCTGGGGAGTGAGTTTCTCTAGGCCAGTCACGGGGAAAAAATGGCCCACTCCTGGCTAAGATCTGAAGAGCTGCATCCAACCAGAGGTCTGTTGGAGCTGTGGTTTGGTTCTGGAGACGCTGCTGGGGAGCTCACAAGAGTTTGACTATTTTTGCTCCAAATTCCTGGCCATTGGAGGCTCCCTGTCTCTGATCTCGGATTGAAGAGTCTCCAGAAACAGATGCAGCCCAGCTGGGAGGCCAACTGAGGACAGACACTTCAGGCTTAGAGGAGAAAAGAAGTGACGCTTGGTTCCTCCAACAATTAGCAAAGTTGGGTAGACGATGGCTTTGGGACCATTTGCCAGAACTCAGAGCTCTTTGGATGAAGACCAGGTCCAACTGCAGTAAATACATTATTAATAAAATGTTGGGTGCCATTAATCTGAGGACATGTATCTTAGAGAAGACCAGTGTTTCTCAACCTTGGCAACTTGAAGACGTGTGGACTTCAGCTTCCAGAATTCCCCAGCCAGCCATGGGGAAAGCCGTCTTCAAGTTGCCAAGGTTGAGAAACACTGGAGTAGACCAAGACTGTCCACCTAGCCCAGGCTTCTCTACCCTCATTGGGCTTCAGCTCCCATCGTCCCAGGATTGCAGAAGTTGGGACTAGCTGAACTAACATATGGTGATGCTCTTCTCCAGTTTTCCCCCTCCATGGGGAAGGCTCTCTCAAAAGATCAGCAGTGGAGCTTTTGCTTGGCAGGAGAATGAAGTGGTACAAAGGCCCTTCTTCTTTCCCATGCAGGGAGATGTTGGCGGTGCCCGTACTTTGCAGAAGAGGTGGACGACGTTTCTGAAGGCCCGGTTGCTGTGCTCTATTCCAGAGCAGCAGCTGCATTTTAACCGGATCCAGGGGACCTACACGCTGAATGGGGATCACTGGCGCGAGACCAGCTTTTTTGGGGTCTTCCAAGCACGCTGGTAAGGCACGACAGGGTTTCTTGGACGGCATGGACCCAACAGCCCTTTGCTCTAAAAGCGCTCAGAAGATTGAATGTTGGCTGCAGATTTTTTCTCTTTAAGGGGGAGGGACCGGGGGGTTCACCTTCCCTTTTTAAAAAGAGGCAAGCTTGCATTGCATAAGGCTCTGGAAAAATATTTTATGGGTATCATGCGTAAAAACCGGGCAGAGCTCAGGTCACTCTGTCGTGACTGCCATCTTGACTTTTTTCACCATTCTCTGCAGATGCCCCTGTTACACTTGTTTTGATCCAACAGGAATAAACCTTCTCAAACTTGAACTCCCAACCCCCTGTTTTTCTTTATTTCCTCCAGGGGAGACGTAGATGTTTCTGCCATTTGCCAGTACCAGATTCTGGATGTGCAGAAAGTGTTTGAGGGCCCCTACAAGGAATACAGCGAAATTGCACAGAAGTGGATTCGCTACTCTGACCAGGAACCGGTTCCTCGTCCAGGAGCTGTAAGTCCGTGTCCCCACTGAGGCAGGATGCCTCACTCTTGCCCCTTCTGTCCTGCTTGGGGGGGGACATTCTTGTTACCTTTGTTGTTACCAAGCAGCCGATGCAGGTAGTCCTCACGTAACAACTGCCCTTTTAGTGACCGTTCGAAGGTACAATGCTGAAAAAGTAACTTTATGACCATTCTTCATACTTACGACTGTTGCAGCGTCCCTGCAGTTACAAGATTTGGGTGCTTTGCAACTGGTGGGTGTTTACAACTGTTGCAGCATCCCGCAGTCACATGATTGCCATTTGCGTGCTTCACAACCAGCTTCTGACGAGCTATGGAGAAGCCGGCAGTAAAATTGCAAGTCACAGTCACATGATGTCTCGCTTAATGACCGCGGGTGATTCGCTTAATAACCACAGCGGAAATGAGGTTCTAAGCCTATCGCAGTCACTGATGTCTCACTTAACGACCGTGTCACTTAGCGTCAGAGTTGCTGGTTCCAATTGTGGTTGTTAAATGAGGACTAACTGTATACAGTTTGTGGGGGGTGAGAGGTGACTTCTTGGGGTTTGTTTGCCAAAGCCAGATTTTTCTAGTGCAGCCTTGCTATTCTTTAACCTCTTGTTACTACTTGGGTTAGTTGGCACCCCTGTATCCAAGGGTAGTCACACCTTGAGATATCTAGGTGAGGTGGTACAGCTGGGGGGGATATGAATGGTTATTACTGGATTGGCTTGGAACACATGGTGCGCACACATGCTTTGTTCCTTCTGCTCTGTAAATTGGTTCCTTCTGTGGTGTTCCCTTTGCTAGCACACAGACCATCTTCCCTTCTCATTCTTGTCCTTGTCCCCTACCCCCTAGATCAGTGTTTTTCAAACTTGGCCACTGCTGGCTAGGGAACTCTGCGAGTTGAAGTCCACACATCTTAAAGTGGCCAAGTTTGAAAAACACTGATCTAGATAATCACGCTTCTGCTGGCCCATCCCTGTGAGTGAGCGCTCCTTGTTCCTTGGTGAGGAATTTCCCTGGTTCAGGAGCTAACGAGTAGAGGTGGAGGAGAGATACAAGGCTTTAGACTTGCTAGCAGCTCGCCTTTCTTGGCTCCGGTCTCTGCATATCATAGAGAAGCATCGAACTGTAACGTTGAAGGAACCCCAGAGATCATTTCATCCAGCTCGGTGCAGTGGGCAGAAAAACCAGTTAGGACAGGTTCATAGCCCAGAGACTAAAAGGAGGATTCTGTAGGAAACATTCTTATCGCTGCTTTGCACAGGTTAATCTTGAGCAAGAACTGAGCCTTAGTGGAGAGGCACCCCTTAAGATGACATGACTTCTGCAAATTCGACTTTGCATGCATGTTCTGTAAGTGTGTCATAATGTTTACCATGCGTGCAACACAAAATAGTGCGGTCCAAGGATTAATACTTGATGTATGCAAAAAAAAAAAAAAATCAGGTTGCACATGGCTTTCCAGAATGAATAGCTCGGTAGGCTTGGTAAAGCCTATATTTTCCAGAGCCAAGTTTTTGCCAGGTCCCTGTATTTTAAGCTCTGATCTAAATCCCGCTTCTGTTGTCTTTCTTCCAGTGTATCACAGATTGGCACCGGCACAACAGTTTCTCCACTTCTCTGGAGCTCCCAGACAACACCCTGAACTTTGCCAAGAAGCACCCGCTGATGGATAAGGCCGTGCCACCACAGGGCAACCGCCCCTTGCTGGTCAAGAAGGATGCCAACTTCACCCAGCTGGTGGTGGAAAGAGTTCATGGACTGGATGGGAAACCATACGAAGTGCTGTATATTGGAACAGGTACGGGCTGAGGAACGCCAGGAAGAGGGCAAGATTACAGCTGGATTCCCATAACGTGTCTCACAGAGTCAATCAAAGTTTTGACCGCTACATTTTGCAGCATGCTAATCTTGGTTATTTTTAATCTTAGTTATTTTATCAAGAGCCAGTTTGGCACAGGGGTTAAAGGCACCAGGACAGAAGCCAGGAGGTTGTGAGTTCTAGCCCTGCTTTAGGCATAAGGCCAGTTGAGTATCTTTGGGCCAGGCTCTCTCTCTCAACCCCAGGAAGAAGAAAAGGAGAAAACACTTCCAAAAATGCTGCCAAGAAAACTGCTTTTCTGTGTAATCAGCAGGAATCAAAACCAACTCAAAGACACAAAAAAGGAGTTATTTTGTGGTTTAACACATTGGGCACACATGGCTGTTTTTGAGGGGTTAATATTTAAGAGATAAACCCCACTATTTTCTGGCTCTAAAACATCTTTGGCTGGCTCTCTCATAAAATATAATCAGAAAAATAATTTGCTTTATTTTGGAAGGCATTGGCAGACATTTTTGTTCAGTTCTGCTAGTTAAAAATTGATCAGAGATGAGAGAGACAAACTTTTAGGAGGGATCATGTGACTAGGAACATTTTCTCCTGTGTGTAAAACAAGTGTGAAATGCCTCTTTTGAGACAGAGCTTCTCATCTGCCATTTTTATTATTAGCAATTTCGAAATGAATAAATCACAACTCCCTTCATCAAGGAGTATTTTTAGTTGGTAGGGATGTTTTAATTGCTTCTTCTAACCACTTAGCTGATTTTTTAATAAACAAATCCTTCTTTTGAAGCATTCAGCAGAAAGTGATTAAAGCAAAAAAGGAACACCAAAGCAAGAAGTAAAAATTGCAATAACCCAACAGCTCATTTTAAACGTGGCCTCCCACGTTCCATCTAGCCGGACTGCAAAACCACTGTCTCTTAAGAGAAGCCAATATGGATTAGAAGGACTGGCGGGCAATGCGATAATTAGTGCTGATGTTTGGATGCAGAGAGCTGAACTGGCTGCATTTGGAGGACTGGGTGTACCCTAAGTGCCATTATGATGTTGAAGCAGCATTGGGAATTGGACTCTTCTGGCAAGAGAGGATGAAAAGAGGATGTTTGCTTATTTAAAGCATTGAAATGGCCACCCAACTCAAACAATGCAACTTTAACATTGTCCTGGGTTCTCTGTTCTGAGCCCATGTCCCTGGCTGGTCAAGACCTCCTGGAAGGGGGCACGTGGTTGAGTCCAAGTAGTGGCTAATGCCTCACCGTGAGAGGGGGGTGGTACTTCCTGCCTTGAAGGAGATGGTAGTATGTCCCCTTCTCGAGGTCATCCTTAGACCCAACAAGGTTGGATAACTGTGGTCCAGTCTTGAACCTTTCCTTTTTAGGGAAGGTTGTTGAGAGGGTGGTTGACCCTCAGATGCAGAGGACCCTGGCTGAAGCAGATTGTCTGTCTTCTGCTGAGTCAGACCTTGGTCTAGCTAGCCCACATTTCCCAGCAGTGACTGGCAGCTGCTCTCTGAGCATCAGTGGGAGTTTTTCTGCCCTCTTGGAGATGTCAGGATTGACCTTCTGCATGCAAAGCTGGTGTTTGCCACCAAGTGATGTCCTCTCCTTAAGAAGGGGGTCCTTATAGTCACTGAACGGTCTCCTAAGCACTTACCCTGATCTGGTTTTTGTGCAGAGAATGGCTGGCTGCACAAGGCGGTGGCCTTGCCTTCGGGTGTCCATCTCATAGAAGAACTGCAAGTTTTTGAGGAAGCCCAGCCAATCAAGAGCCTGGTGTTATCTGTACAAAAGGTAAGAAAGGTCCAGATATGGTGGGTTCCAAAGTTGGTGAACTCCCAGAATTCTTAGTCTTTGGCCATGCTGTCTGGGAAGAACTGGACATTGATGTCCTGATGCCATTGGGGAAAACATGAACATCTGCAGGTGGGGGTCAGGGGAGGGGGGGTTGGTAGAATGAAATGTGCACAGTGATGTCATCATGTGTCTGCCGTGAGTTTTGTTCCATCAGACTTCAGGAAGCAGGAATACAGTGGCAGCATTTACTGAGATGAAGCCTTTAGACACATCCCTTTAGTGTTATGGTGGTTCTCTGCCAGTGCTGCTGGGGAAAGTTGACACCTAGGATAAAGTTGAAATTTCAGGAAGTACTGACTGTTCCTCCCAGGGCTGTCCTCGCTGTGCATACACGCAACCTCCCCAAGAATAAACGGTGCAACTTAAAGCCACTATCTTATATCTGATAATTGGCATGTAAAGGCGCCTGTTGGCGATTAGGATCTGGTGGAACGAGGCGTCAGGTAATAGGAGAAAGTTACCAGTCAGGAACCGGAGAAGCATGTCATAGAAGAGGACCTGGATTCACAGAATATGCTACACCCGAGGCCAAGTTAGCCAAGTGGAATTGCTGTGTTCCTCTCATGTGCTGCACCCAAGTGAATCAACTGGTCTAGTGATGGTTTGGTTCACCCCACAGGCTAAGGCACTGTCTGATCTCCAGAAGATGTTGAACCACACGCTACCCAACCCAGCTTAGCCCTGATCCAGCATAATGTTGAACCTGGCCTGTGAGACAGAATTATGGAAGCCACGGCCAATTTCTGATTTCAAAGGTTTCCTCAGAAGTTGCCTGCCTCTGTAATCATCAGGGCTAGAAACTTAGTTGACAGAATAAACAGAATTAAGGTGCCACATTTGGCCAGAGATCTTTGTCATAGTCTGTCTGGCACATAGGATCCCTAGCTTTCAGAAGGCAGAGGTGGTTTTTTCAGGCCTCCTCAACGTCAGGATGGGGTGAAACAGGAGGACGCCAGATCTGGCCCTGCTAATTGTTTTCTTCTGCTTCATTCTTAGAGGGTCCTCTTTATCGGCTCCAATTCACAAGTCATCCAGGTACCTGTGGCCGACTGCAGCAAGTACCGGACATGTTCCGACTGCATCCTCGCCAAGGATCCGTACTGTGCTTGGACTTGGAACGGAAGTCGTTGTGTCCGCATCGATGCTTACGATGGGTAAGAGGCGAAGGGGCCGTGGGGGTGGTTTACAACCCCTTTGTCCTCCCTGTAACCATAAGGTCTAGAAACCAGATCTTTCTCAACAAGGCTGTAACCTTTGGATGCCAAGAGCTACATCAGCACAGGGAACTGGCACACGAGCGCAATGCACCCAACTCCAGTTTTGGTCCTGTTCTTTCTCATCCTTAGATCATTCCTTGGCACTGTTTCCTAGCCTAGTTCTATTTCTCCTTGGTGATGGATTGACTTTTGGCTTTTACAGGACCTCAGCGCTGTTCCAGGATTTGAGAACGGAGCCAATGATGTGTAGCCCCTTGCGTTCTTCCAGGCCAGGTCAGTCCTCCAAAGAAATGTCAACTCTTTGGCGATTTTTTGTGGGTGTGAGAGAGAGAGTTTTGTAATATTTACTCTTGGTGTTCTGAAATGAAGATGCAGTTACCAGCACGACCGTGTGTTTTGAAACGCTGGCTCAGGGAGTGTGATGAAGATCAGCTTCAAATGTGCCTTTGGATTGGAACACGTTTGTTCATTCCCACTCTATTAAAAATATTGGGGAAATTCCTGCGTTTATATCAATGTTCCTCAACCTTGGCGACTTGAAGATGTGTGGACTTCAACCCCCAGCATGCTGGCTGGGGAATTCTGGGAGTTGAAGTCCATACATATTCAAGTTGTTGAGGTTGAGAAACACTGGTTTATATCTAGCTTGGGGCTGTTTGGGACCATCTGCACAAATACAGGCACTCTTGTTGTCTGAACAGTCCTGTGTGGTTGGTTAGGAAGAGGTTAGGGTCCTCAGCTATGGCAGGATCAAAAGTGAAGCCTCTTACGCGTGAAGCCCTGTGATTGCAACCACTTTCTAACAGCAGCTTGGGTGTTCGCGGCAGTCAACCCAGAATAGTGTTACCTGAGCTTCAAATGCAAGCTTCAGGCTCATACCTCATAAACTAGAGAAAGAGAATGTGCTCCACATTTTTAGCAACCAGTAACTCTGCTCCAGTTGCTGCTGTGAGTTTTAATCTCTCTCTCTCCTTTTTTAAGTTTAGTTTTCCATTTGCAGATGTGCCCAGCTTTAAATCTTCATCCTTGCTCATCCAAGGTAGATTTTTTAAAAAGAGCTGTTTTGTCTACAGGTGCCTTGGAGAAACGAAGGATCCCTCCCATCATCCTGTTTTGTCTGCCTGTCTTCCTCATTTATTTATTTACGTATTTATTTATTTATTGCAAATAGTTTTATGATCTATTCAATCACCTGACTCGAAATGGGTGCCAGCAAAACATACCGTATGCACCATGACAGTAAATCAAAGTTATCGCAATTGCCAAAAGCATCAAATCATAATATAAATTCAACCTAATTTATAACATTATCATAGAAACCATAACATCTTACAATATCAGAGCAGCCAGATTCATCCCCAGTCTAGGGACACGCCCCATTCTAGCCTTAGTCCCCAAATGCATGTTTCAAATGCCACGTTTTGAAAAGCTTCCTGAATTTTAGAAATATGGATTCTACGTCTGGTGTCATAGTCTGGGTGGCTGTTCCCTTCCCTTGTCAATTTGAAAACAGCCGGTTTCCGGAGAAGCCCATCTAATCAGTTTCAGAATGCTCCCAGCACTTGGATGGCTCCCATCAGTGAAGCGGATAATACCAGTGAAATATGTTACAGTCGACAGTGCGTGGAAGCTGTGATTGCTCCAAAGCACCATCCTCAAAGTAGTCAGAGAAATGAACAGATGCTGGAGGGAAACAAGTATCACAGGGATTGGTGGGAACAATTGTGGTATGTTCCGTGAGCATAGTGGTTGTTGCATTGTTGGGGCATGTTGTCAATACAGATGTGGTCCAGCTTTCTCCCTTTAGAGTTGACATGCTGTGCTTTCATCCTCTGTGGGGTCCATAGTGGGAGGTGCAGTGGAGGTGATTTCTGCTAGCCGCTGTGGGGTTCAAAACCTTGTCTGAAAAGAGTTAGTGCTTATGGGAAGAGACAACAGGTGTTGCCTTTCTTCCTGTTCATGGGACATGAAGGTTATTGCCTTTGGCCTCCCTTGGCAAAGCTGAAGTGTGAAATCCTTGTAGACAGAATGTGCAAGACAGTGGAAAGCTGTTGAGACATATTTTGAAGTTGTTTTCGGAGAGGAAGCCAGGTTAGCTAATGGTAGGAAAGAACAGAATAATAAAAATAATTAAAAACTGATGGAGACACGCAGAACAAACGTGTTCATTTTCAGAATGGGAATGCCTGAACGGGATGTCTAATTCATCCACCTTCTCTCTTGCTGGGCTAAGAACTTCCCAAATGACGAAAGAGCTGGGTTCATACAACATGCTTACAAACACATACAACCCAGGTTTACAAACACAAAGATCCCCATGACATGAAACCACCACGGTCTGATTCGCACAAAATGTTAAGAAAAGGGCTGGGTTCCCACCATTTGCAGACCCTCAAACAGGCTCACTTTATGAACGAGAGAGAGAGATTTTAACTGATCCTAGCTTGATGCCAACCTAGACCATAAGAATGTCCCTATTTTGTTGTCACAACAACCCATTAAAGTGATGTAATGGGATCAGACATGGAAGAATAATTGATTACGGCTGGGCAATGAAATTGTGCAAGTTTCTGGAGCTCTAAAAGGCATTTAAGTGCAAAATGTTTCAGTGGGACAAATCCAATCATTCTCCATAACAACAAATATCCGTGCTTATTTAAATGTATACTGCACTGACATCGTAATTCACAAGGAATGGATGTTTATGGCTTTACATAGCAGCATTGCACCCACTTAAGGAAGCTATTAAGCCATAGGAAACAAAGAGTAAGATCAGGCCAAAGTCCAGCAGCCACCTTCCCCGGCAGATCAGGGCACACATTTGTGACCTCAGGATGGTCCACAATGCCATATCACTCAGTGACATCCCCACAGCCTCTTTTGAGAATTGACCCCAATCTGTAATTTTAGCATGACCCACAAGGAGAAACTCTTAAATTTCACAGAATAATCATAAGTAACAGGCTTGAGAATGTAATGGGCAAAAGAAATAACCTTGAGGAACAAGAGGAAGAGCAACAACCAAGACAATGGTCAGATGAAAGAAATTTATCTGGGGCAGAAATGTAATTTGAGAAAGCGTCTCAGACATGACCCTCCCTAGTTCTCATGAAGATGAAGGGGGGTGGGAGCGAAGCACATTCAGTCTTGCAAGATTCTGTTACCATAACTTTATAATAAAAGTAGGATTAACCTGCATGACTTTGGTTTCCTAGTCTAGTCTATCTTGAATTAACATAACATTCCATTAATGGACTAAATTTAAGTGAAAATAACATTTTGTCACAGCCGACTTTTGCAGCCTATGAACATCCCCTTCAAGGACCAAGCCCTTGGGCCCCCAAACATGTTCATCCCTTCAAAGAGATTCTTAGCCAAACCTTGTATTCTTAGTAAAAGAAGGTTTAATTGTATCCACCTCTGTCCAGCCCTTTCTCCAGATTAGGTTCACTTGATTAAAAAAAAAAATCCTTAGTATTTTAAAACTGAAGGATAAACTATAGACCTTCTTGAGGTCTGCTGATCTCGCATTTGACTCTGCCCTGATGCCTACATCAACATCATGCATTTGATGAAGTGACTTATAGACCTCAAAAGCATACACCGATCTTCCTTAACCTGCTGTCTTCCAGATGAGTTGGACTTCAGCTCTCATAATCCTCAGCTGGCACCACCAAAAGGAATACCTGTGTTTGGCTGTAAGGGGCCTAAAATACTCTGGAGCCCATCAGTCTGAAAAGCACAATATCAGTGTTTTTAAATAACATAATAGCTCTGTTGCTGTAAGCTCTTTGCAAAGTTTAGAATCCTGGGTATGATGAAACCTGTGGAGATCAAGAAAGTATTTTTCTGCCAAAGGTCTCATTCCAGCCAGGAGGACAACAAAGAGGGGTAGGGAAGTCCAAACAAGTATCCCTGCTGTCCCGTGTCCACCATAAGTAGAAGTGGGCTACCCATGTAGCTTGATCTAAAGACTTCCTTTGCTTTGTTTAAGGTTTTAAATCTTATTTCCAGGACTTCTTGTGCATGTTGACGCTTGATACACAGAGTTTGTGAATTGATTAGGGTCTCCATCAACTGACAGAGTTAACCCCAGTCCATTCTTCTGTCTTTTACTTGTCCTCTCCACAGGGACCAAGATGAGTTCCAAGAACATCACCGTGATGGTTGGAACGGACCTGGTGCTACCTTGCCGGCTCACCTCCAACCTCGCTAAGGCCTTTTGGACCTTCAATGGGGAGGATTTGGCTGAAAAACAGAGTTCAGTTGTCTATGATGCTCATCTTCAGGCACTGATTGTTTTGGGCATCAGTCTGAAGCATGCTGGGTTGTACAAGTGCATCCAGCTAGAGGAGCTGAATCAATTGATGGCTGAGAGTTACCAGGTCAGCGTGTTGTCCGGCCCAGCCGTGTCGCTGGAGACCCGAGCTCCCTTGGAGAACTTGGGCCTGGTCTGGGTGGTGGTGATTGCTCTGTCAGCCGTCTGCGTGGTTCTCCTGCTCGTGGTGTTTTCCCTGAGGCGCAGGCTGAAAGAAGAACTTGAGAAAGGCTCCAAGGCCATTGAGAGCACCCTTGTCTACCCCATTGAGTTGCCCAAAGAGCCCAAAAGCCCCACCTTTATTCCCAGCACCACCTCGGACTCCGACGAGAAGCTCTGGGACCCCGCCAGCTACTACTATTCAGACGGTTCCCTGAAGATCGTCCCGGGTCATGCCGTGTGCCAGAACGGGGGCACCACTCCCTCACCCACCACTAATGGCATTCCTGGCCAGCCTCTGCAGTCTCCGCACCTCCACTCACCCAACCGCATCAACCTGGGCAACATCCGGGGCTCGTCTTCCAACGGCTACATCCGCCTCAATTTGGGCACCGAGGAGCGGCCGGACTACAGTGACTTGGCGGAAGAGCTGCGTCGGAAGCTGAAGCAGAGGCAAGCTCTGCCTGACTCGAATCCCGAGGAGTCTTCGGTGTGAGCTGCCCGGCAGACTTGTCTGACGAATTACTCAACTACCTCATCAACTAGGCCGGGATCACTGCCCCCAGCCAAAACGACTCTTTCTTTTTAAGAAAAGAACCCAGACACTTTTGTAACAGGCTTCCTCACATCCCCAATTTTGATACACTGCCAAGACCCCTTCCCTCGCAGCTCTTGCATCGTTCAGTGTTCCCTGCTGTGCTTCCTTTGGGACCATTCCCCGGGTTTTGTGAGTGGTGGTCTTCATTCCTTCACCCTGGATGTTCAGTCTGAGCCTTCAGAGCAGTGTTTCTCAACCTTGGCCATTTGAAGATGGGTGGACTTCAACTCCCAGAATTAATTCTAGGAGTTGAAGTCCACCCATCTTCAAGTGGCCAAGGTTGAGAAACACTGGTCTAGAGACTTGCCCTTTGGCAGGGAGACCCTGAGCCGAACCCAAGCCTGTTTCAGTTCAAACAGCCACACGGGAATGATGTTGAAATGGTTGTGCGAAAGGCAAGCTGGAGTGTAATTCCCGTGCCAAGGTTGCTGTTAGCTTCATAGCTACTGATTCCACGTTTCTCTGTTCTGTCCTGGCTGCCTGCAAGAGTGGGACTCTGCAGCTAGCGATTTTCCCTGAAAGCAAAACTAGGGACCAGGAGGATGGCAAATACCCACCCCCACCCCCAAAGTAGGACCACTTTGGGGAGAATGGGACCTTGGAAAGACAGGCTTCCTAAAGGTGCAAGGTGTGTGTTGGGAATCTCAACCGAAGAGAAGGGGTACGTTGAGGGGTGGGGAACGCTGTTAGCCGTAGCTTGGGCGTCCTCCCTCATGGCCACATTTAAAAGTGTGTGAAAGAGATACCCTCAACCCACACAAGAGCTTTCCTTTTCCAGCTGTGGTGGGATATCTTTTGGGGGTGTGGAACGCTTGGTCCTGATATCCTTCTGGGGGCTCCAGGAGGTCTGATGTCACTGGAGTCGGTGGGCCAAACGTTCCAGCCGGAGTTTTAAGGAATGCAAGGCTGAAGATGTCTGTTTTGCTCTCGCATCTTCACCAAAAAAAGACATCCATGTGTTTTGGTCCTATTAATTTTGAGGGGGCTCTTTGGGCCACATGCAGAGGAATGGGTTGACGGGGGTAATTCTGAGAGTGGATGAAGGCAAGCATTGGGGTCAGTCCCACATGGCACACTCTCCCTGCTAATGCCTTGCACCTTCCCTTTGCAGAAGGGTGGTACCAGTGAGAGAATCCACCCTCAAATTGTGCAGTTGGGCTCTTTCGTATCATGTGCCCTGTCTGCTTCATAGCACCCCAGGCCCCCTTTCTGCAGGATACTTGCAGGGTACTTCTCCTTCCTGCAAGATACATGCAGCTTCAGGAAGGGTGTGTGTGTGTGTACTCACGCACATGGACATGATGGTCTTCTGCAGGTGGATTAAGAGAAACAAGTGCCATCACATGCTTCATCACACAAATCACGTTCTTTGCATCACTCATTGTCATGACACATGTGACATTTTGTTTCTACCAGACAACGAATGTGTGTGTATGTGAGAGAGAGATGGAAAAATGCTTTGTTCACCCAAGATGCTTAACTGGGTCAAGTGAAGACTTGCAGAGGCAGCCACCCCACATGTGAATTGGTTTGTGGAAACCTTGGCTCGTTTTAGGGTGATGTGCAAGCCTAGCTGGTGAATTGATGGTTCAGTGCGTTGGGTGAATCCAGAATGTAGATGACATTGGCCACAAGGTTAAACATATCGTATGAATGCAGCCAGTGAGCATCGGCGAGAGAGAGAGAGAGAAATGCCCTTCCTAAAGACACGAACAAAACTGAATTTCTCTGCCCTCCTTTTCTAGTAGGGAGCATGCAATTACCTACATCCATTCCAAGCCCTGGTCGTCTTCCATGTGGCCATTCCCTTTCCTGTCCTGCATGCTTCTCCCGCCATCATCAGCTGATGTTTCTTTTCCTTCTTCCTGGACCTTCTTCCTTAAAACGCTAGTATGTACATAATGAACACAGTCTCTCGTTTCCCCAGCTTGGTTGCCCTGCCCCAAATTGTAATTTATTTGTTATTGAAATGTATTTATTTGACGGAAATGTACAAATATTTTTATACTAATAATAAAATGAAGAAGAAAGGGGGGAAAAAATCAGGCCGTCGTGCTGTGTTCTTAGTTCTTGACCTCCCTCCAAGTCACCAGTAACGTAGTGCATATTTATGCTGGTTTGCAGGCTTCGTAGTTGGTATGAAGAAGAGTGTTAATGCCACTGCATTTTAATGAGAGTATCCAAGGGCCTTGCCCAAGGCAGGTAGGAACTGAGCTTATATTGGCATAGTGGCAAAAGAGACAGCAGGAGAGAAGGTGAATGTAATCAGCTTTCTGCTTCCTGCATCTTCTCAATGAATTGGGCTGGGAGAATCCCAGGATTCTCTTTTTAGGTATTGAGAGAGTTGATATCCTGGACATTCCCCTCCAATGGGTAAGACGGGTAGCAGCTAATCTACTTGAAGGTCCTTCTTACCTGAGCCAAAGGGCTGATCTGCAGAACCATGTTGCCCCAGCATTCAGGAGCATCTGTGCATGTGCCTGGGTCAAACAAGTCAAGATGGCGGCCGCCATCTCGAGATCAATGGATGATGCTCACAAAAGGTGCAGGTCTTCCATAGCATGATCCCAGCTGCCAACTTGATTTTCTTGACCCCCACCCCTAGTACAGAATTAGTGACACAGGTAGTACAAGGTTGGCAAAGAGAAACTAGGTGTTTCTCAAGGGCAGGAATGCATAACGTCTTCTATCCCCTCCCATCTCTTCCTCAAGGCAACCTCTGCCCGTCTGTTGTGCCATGTGCCCAAGGCAGCATTTTGTGACTTGTGCCAGCACAGAGGTGCCCAGTTCATCTGCTGCGCATTGTTTAAAGACCTGAAACTGAGAAGGAAATAGTTCTTCATTCAGATTAGAATCAGCCTGTGCTTGATTCTAGAATATGAATTAGAATATGCTGCTGTAAGGTGTGGTGTTGGGTACTGATTTAGGTGGCTTCAAAAGGACACCCGTTTCTGAAGGACAGGTCCCTCTGCGGCTCTTCGCCTTGATAACTCTCCTTTCTCCAGGCCCAGGGCAACCCATCTCCATATACTACGTACATGGGGACAACAGTGAGAGAGGGGGCTGTCTAGATCTCCATGGGCTTCCTTGATGCATCTGATGGTCCACCACATGAGACAGAATGCTACCCAGATGAATCTTGTCCTGACCCGGCCAAGCTATTCTTTCTTTTTCATGTTCATTGCAGGAAAATGGTGCCACCCCACCCAGCTACTGTGTGTGTGGCTGGAATGCCCCCTTGCCTCCAGACACTGGTCACTTTTTATATGGTCCTGCTGGACTAGTGAGAGGTAGAGGTAAAAAAAGTGAAATTGACAGTTCTACCAGTTTCCCATTCCTGCCCAAGCCATAGCAACAATTGTAAAACCATGGAATTGTTGTACAGTTGCACCGTGGTTGAAGCAGACAGGAAGGGGTCAAGTGGAAGGGGAGTTAATTGAGGTGGGGGGCTCCTACAAAAAGTCTCTCAGTGTAAACCATGAGATGGGAAAGGAGGAGAATCCCCCAATCATCAGCTGTGGTTGCCACCATCCAGGCCCTCTCCTTGGTCGAAAGGAAGAAGGGGCTGAAATTGTGAAAGAGATTTCTTAAAGCAGCTTCATTTGCAGCCATTTTATGCACGAGAATTTTATGCACTGCTGAAGGCTGCAGTGTAGAAAAGCCCACACTCAAGGGCTGAGAAAATGAAAACCGTGATTAGGTTGGTGTTGGAAGGCAAAAAAGGCAAGACCAAGCTGGTGTCTGGAATTATTCCAGGGAGGGGTTTCATGTTTTAGGGGCGGGAAAGAGGATAAGGTGAAATCGTTGAATGACAGGAAGAAAGTCAAGGGTATATTAGGATAAGATGGCAAAAAAAGCAGGGGGAGTTGTTCCCAAATGTCCTTCCTGGGACCCCCCCCCCAAAAAAAATAGATGAATTCTGCTTTTTGACAAGGAACGGCAAATGTGGTTTAAGCCAAGTTTCCTCCCCAACGTGAAAGTTGTCAGAAAAGAACAAACTCTTTTTTTTCCTGCCCAACCTCCGTGCACCCCCCCTATTCTGGAGATCTTGCCGTCTGTTCATTAGTGTTTGTATTAACTTGGGCTGGTTTCCACTATGATCGTGGAGGAACAGCATCCTTGCTTTGGCCTCTCTTCTTTTTTTCCCCCCCATATCATTCGTGAGCTCATGGAAACTGAGCTTCAGGCCTATAAAAGGACATCTCTGTCTTCCCAGCACTCCAGAGGGCAAAGGCAGGGAGGGAGGGACAGCCAGCCTGCCAGCCCCCCGCCCTTCTCTTGGGATCAGCTATGGGGTGGGGAGGGGGGAGCAGAAATCCTTAACAGCAGCTAGTAGATTAATTGGCTGCGATCTCTTCGTGTAACGTATTCCCGTCCCTGCTGACTTATACCTGCACACCTGTGAAGAACAAAAGCAATGGGAGGTTTAAGGAGACAGGTTTTTCTCCCAGCCTTTGCCTTTTCTTATATGTTGCTTTCAGCCTAGAAAAATCCATAGGATGGCTTCCTTCAGCCCCACCCGAGCTGCAGGAAGGAAATGAAAATGCATTGCAGGATGCACAGCACGCTTCTTGGGGCAAAGGTGTTGATGTGTGGGTCCCGCCACATCCCATCTCTTGCTCTGATTTGGCAACTGCTAATTTCTTCTTTTATGTCCCTAGCATGACTTGACATCTATTACTCTTGATGAGGAAGGGAATGATGTCTCTTTTAAATATATATATTAGAGAGAGAGAGAGACATTGCACGGTTAGGAACTCTGAACCTTCCTAGAATTCCCAAAACAAAAATGGAATTTTGCAACCAACAGAAGGTGACCTACTTAACCTGTCTTACTTTTAGAAATGGGGCTTCAATAATTAAGTCAAAGGTTCACAATCTTCATGGCCTCCCCACTAAGTAGGTCTTGGGTGGAAAGTCTGGGCAGAAGTAAATTTATTCTTTGTGGAAATCATCCATCTGGGTGCCATATTTGATGTCTTACGTGTCTCTGTCATGGTCTTATCACAAATCAGGGTATTCCTTTCTTTTCCTTTAATTCTGTGTTTCGGTGCAGGACCAAAGCATTTTGAGGCCTGAGTAGCAGGAGTTAGATCAGTGTTTTTCAATCTCAGCAACTTTAAGATGTATGGATTCCAACTCCCAGAATTCCCCAGCCAGCAAGATGGGAGGTGCAGATAGGTATCCCAAATGAACTGAGATGAGATTGGGGGTTCAAAGAGGAGGA